TAATTTTGTAATTTTCCTTATTTTTATTACTAGAGTATCTCTTTCTTCATAAGAAATTTTTGAAATTATAGAAATTAATATTGTAATATATAGATGCTAAGATAATTTTAATAAATAAATAAATGAATATAATGCATTTATTTTATTGTATTGTACAATAAATTTTTTATACAAGACATGCAATAATTCTTTTCATCAATTAAAAATTTTTAGATAATAGTATAGATAATAGTTAGAGAATATTAAATTATTAAAAATATCTTTATATTAGCTTAAGTGAATAGTATTAAATATTACAATGTTAATATAAAAATATTTATCATTATTGTTGTATAATAATGTTCTATCAATCTGGAAAAAATAGTTTTGCTGTACCAAAATTTTGTTTCAAAATAAAACGGAATCAGAAATTCCAATTAAAGTTATCAGAATTCAATTTAAATTAACAAGATTTCTGTTTAATTTAAACAAAAATCTAGTAAATTCAATCAGAATTTCTGATTCATTTAATTTGAAACAGAATTTTGATACAATCCACAAAACTATTTTTCTGTGTAGTATACTAATATAATAACATCTAGTATAATAACATTATGTAACATATTATGTAAAAATAATTTAAAGACTTTTATTTGATATTTATATATGCATTATTTTTGCGTATGTATATTTATGATAAATCAATGTTAGGTTTTAAAGAATGTGATGGAAATTATAACAAATATTATTTTATTATTTAATAATTATGTTTAGTATACTTTACATTTATAGTTTTTAATGTATTAATAAAATCAGGAAAAAATGTTTAAATTATACTACTATTCATAATCATCATTTGTACATTATGTAAACAAATATGGCGTCTCTTATCACAATCTAGAGTCGCGTGGCATGTCATCCGTAAGATACCTGTAGAGTCGAGCTTCTGATATTTACATTCTACAAAAGCCCGGATCTACAGGGTAGATCACGAATGTGCCTATTCTTTGCAACTTCTCCTTGTCATTCCACATAGTAGCAATCTGGAACAAAAATTTCAATTTAATATGCGCTCTTACTGTTTCAATTATATTTATGAGTAAACTCTTTTTTATAATTTATTTCATAAATTTGACAAAAAAAATATATAATTTCTTTTTGTTATTTTGAAATTAATATCGTGTTCATAACATTTTCCGTTCTAATAATTTCTCCTATATAATAGTCTTATTTTTAGCAGCAAAAAGTGGAGGGATAGAGAAATTTTAAATCAATCAGATCTGATATTAAGCGCAAATAACGGACATGACTATTTAAAGCTGCGGCAGATTAGAAGTTCAGTTCTAGCCGCGCCAATGTACGTGACGCCGGAAAACCGTCGCTGAAACTGGACGTGACCCGGCATGCATATCCGGGGTACGGTTAAAGGAAGTCGTGAATTATAATAGCGTCTACCTGACGCGATTACCTTTCCTCGAGTTTAATACTTGATTTAGCACATTGTGTTGCGCTACCCACCATGACCATCTACGTATTATTCGCATTAGATTACAAATTATTGAAATCTTTCAAACTTTTTAATCAAATACGAGATATTTTTATTTTTTTCAAATGTTATAATGCAAATATTGAGTATTTATTAATTCAAAGTACTCACATCTTCGTGCTTCAAGATATATGTGTTTATACAAATATTTTGAGGGCCAATACTTGATATCCTCTTTGAGTCATACAAGTATAATATAATATTTATATTTACAGAGCATCAATCTAGTAATTGTGTAATTTGTAGTTTGTTTTACATATATTACGCTGAAGTCGGTAATATTAGAGGACAGAGGAAAGATGAAGGATATGCATTTAAGTTTTAAAAGTGAAAATATAATTTTTAAAAACAATTAAAATGTAATTCTGTAATATATGAAGTAGATAACGATTTGGCTAACTAATAACTATTGATGCTATTATAAAAACTTATCTATTAATATTATCATAACTGTACAAATATAAATACACATTATAATAAATATAAATGCGATAATGCAGAAAGATAACTACTCCGTTCATCAAAAATATATCAAAAAATTGTAATTAGACAACAAATTCATGAAAAAAGATATTATTAAAAGTATGGAAAACATGCTTGTAGAAATCATGCTTGAAATATGAATAAAAAGGCGAATAAGACTATGTCTATATATATAAAATATATATATACATATACACGTGATTTTTAACATATACGATATTTGTTTACAACCAATGTATCTTGCATATATACAATATAGAGTTTAAGAGTAACGATAATCATGCCAAAATATAATTTTCAGAGATATTCGTGCGTAAAAATAATATCTCTCTTGAATCATAATATTAAACTATCGCAACGCAATCCGTTAATTATAAATATATCGATAGGACACAGCGAAAAGTGATACAAAACATAATTCTATGAGCAAACAAACTCACATTCATGCACATTTAACACACATGTAACACGCTCGCTCTTAGCAGAGATAATAGTTATTAACAAACTATGAGAAATTCGTGCGTAAAGGGAAAAAAAGCACTTGAACCGCTCGAAAAACACTAAAGGTTTCCCGCAATTTAACATTATTTCACGTTTGATCTAGCTTCGAGGTCATCCGAGATCGATTTGAGTTTGTCACTAGAGTCCTTGCGTGCCAATCAAGTTTGTCAGACGTGTCAAGATGACGAGATTCTGATAGAAGCAGGTTTTCTCTGAGATTTGCAGGGTACACGGGGCAAAAGAACGGGCCAACGCCCCTCTAACCAAACGTTGTATACCACCGACTGTCCTTTACGACTCAGGTACAGAAGATATTCGGCGACAAGCGAATCCTCGAATTGCGGGGCGTCTCTCCCACGGCTGCCCGGGTGAAGCCAGGGGCTTTCTCCGGATTCTGCGATGATTGGACCGCGCGCACCCTCACTCCGACACGGGGGATGCCACAGCACAGGGCCGTGAGTTTTACGTGGCGCCTCCGCAACTCGATTGCAATTTCGGTTCTCAACAACATTTATCGATTCATTAATAATATAAGTATCATTACCATTCATTATCTTAATGAACTGTTAATCTGCATCAACTTTTGTAATCGAAAGTTGTTACGATCAGAATTTTCTCCCTTTCTCTTTTCTTTCTGTTTTCTTTCTGTTTTTCTTTTTTATTAATTTATACGGATTAATTTATGCGGATTTAATTTCAATAAAAATTTATACTATATTTTGAAAAAATACACTACTCATTTCTTTCTCCTTATCAAAAATTATATCGACAAAATTATAAATTACAAGCAAATAAGATACAAATAAAATATTTTATTTAAAAAAAATATATCCTCATGTTTATTTGTAAGAATATTTATTTTCTTTATGTTTAAGATTAATAAATTATTTTAGCATATTAATCATATTAGAAGCTTTAGAAAGTTAAATTTCTTATTTAAAATATGAATATATTATTTTTAGATCAAGTCAATCTTAGTTAGAGATTTATAAACATCAACGTAGAGAATTGTTACACGCTAGTTAATGCATTAATTATTGTTATCAAACAAAAGATTCTTATATACTTAGCATTCATCAAAAAGCCAAAACAAGTCTATCGAAAATTTATGCGTAACAGTTTATTATTTGCCAGTCGATAAAGCTGTATCATAAGATACTCTTTTGAATAATAAGATTTAGATAAATCTTATAACTGTCAAGAACTATCGAAAAACTGGAAAAAAATAATTCCTCAAGAGCACTGGATACAGTGATATATTTGTCACGCTTTTATAATAATTACGATTTGAGTTTAAGTAAAATTATTTGGTATTGTGTCATATATGTTTAAATAATTTTTAAAATACAAGTTCACATATCAAAAAATTTTTATATATTTGTTTTACGAAAGAAACATCTTAGATTATTTGAATAAATAACCCTTGGACATAATTATCAATTATCGATTTATATATATATATATATATATGTGTGAATAATAGCTACACACTAGTATAGCTATAGATATGTATTTATATTGAATATCAAATATCAAATGTTTCTTAGATATATATCGAAACGACAAAAGTGCATCACGAGTGCTCCTGATAAGTTTATCAATGTTGGATGGGACCGATCGTACATCCGTCCCTGTTCTCGTTGACGTTCGGTTCGAATCGTGCAGTCTCGGCTTGGAGTCCCTGTCAAGCATCCCGCTAGAGAAAGAGAGATGCAAAACCTACGGGCCACCCTTCGTCTCATCATCTTTTCGCGCTCATAGCTGGGCATATCTGGTCTGAGCCAGGCCTGGTCTCCTCTCCTCTGCTTCTCGAGGAATCGCCTGGAAAAGGTCCCTTTACCTCGAGGTCCCTTTCCGCTCCCCGCGAACACCAAAGTCTCCCAATGACGTAGCTTCCGTTCCTTCTCCGTTGTAGAGCGACGTATTGATCGTCTCTCTGCTCCTGAAGCTGCGGAGGCTGACACGAGAGGGAAACGAGAAGAGTGGAGAGAGAACGTGTCTACGCCAGAGGGTGAGGGTTGTGCCGTAGAGCGTGCCTCCGTCGACGCTTAGCGACGGAAGAAGATAGAGGAGTTAGTCGTGTGTATATGTGTATAGCGGATAGAAAAAGTTAAGTAGGAGGAGAAAGGACACGCAGTTTTTGGGGGGGGGAGGGGGGGGGGGCGGGAGGATACTTAAAACGGCGAAGGAGTCGAATCACGATAAGATAGCGGAGGAATCAAGACAGCGATGAGCAATGTATGCTTTTTCCAACAAAAATAGTCGGGATAGAGAGATGAAGATAATAAAGAGCAAAATGTGAAGGAAAACGATAAAGAAATAGCATAAAACGCTATGCTTATAACATTAGTACAGAAAACGATTCGTAGAGATAAACGTGAAATTGAAAAATATAACTTTAGAAAAATGTTTAATAAGAATAAAAACAAAAAGTTACTGTCCTGTTTCAAGCAATGCACAACAATTTTTGATATATATTAAAAGTCTTTTATTTTTAAGTATTAAATAAATTGGAAGTAGACGAAAAGTAAACATTATTCCATGCTACACATGCTAGAAAATTCAACAAAGAAAGATTAAGGATCTAACTCGATAAATCGCAACTGCACTATTTGTCTCTTTACAACATCGGCCCGACGTCATATAACACTCAACTACCTTTCCACCTGTCATTCTCAACTCACACGCAATATGTCTTCCTAAAGTTTGCTTACGTCTCATCATCGGGTAAAGTTGCGGATGTGGATGAATCACTATGAGGATCTCTGTCTCTTGATCATTTTCGAAACTTTGAGCAGATCTTCGTCAAACCAATCAGCTTACACTTCGTAGAGAATGACACCTGAACAGAGATTAATCATTAAATGCATAGCTTAATTCGTGTGTAACATGGCGATCAATTAATAATATCTTTCAGTGTCTATCGCAGAAATTTATTTTATACATAGTTGCAGAAAGCACAATCGGAATAATAATTTTAATTAATTTCTTAGAGTAGTTTCTCCGAACTTTCTTTTTTAGTAATGATTAAATAAATAAACTAAATAAATAAAGCATATTTGCTATCATCGAGCAACGCGTCTGCGTTTCCAGACACCGTTTACAGGCAAATCGTAATGTAGTTCACGCAGTGTAGCTACGTATTTATTGATTAATTCACTAGGGGTCATTATCATAAAAGCTTAGTCTAGCGCGACAAGAGAAGTAACGTATTGACAGATAAAAATTAACGAAGAGACTTATAACTACAGCTAAATTATTTCATTTATATTATTAAAAAATGTATGTGCATACATACTCTTATATTCGCAATTATAGCAAATATTGTGCCATGTAAAATAAAGCATTAAAAAGTATTTGAACATCACAATATGTGCAAATTTTCAAACTTATTCAATCAATTATGATATAAATTGTTTCTAAGATTTACAGATATTAAAAAATGAAAAGCGTTATTTAAGAAATGAGTACCTTTTGCGAAATTTATCTTCAAGGTATCCCAATCGCACCACACTTGCACGTTCGCGAAGAAGCGCTGGTCTCCGACTGGCACCACGTATCGTGGAATGTTTCAGAAGGAATGAACGTCCGACAGAGGCATGCTTGGAATAATAATCCAGTCGATAGCCAGTCGATTTCCTTTTCTGTTCTTCGGCATGGTAACCAATTCGCATTCGTAACTGATGACAAATTTGAATCTGAAATTAAAGTTGCCATAAAAGAATCGGCAGCTCTTTATTCTGTGTAAATCAAATTGCTCTATGTAACCGTTACATGAACTATTATTGAATAGTGCAATAGTGCAGATAAATCATTTTAATTATGTGAAAATAATTAAAAAATATAGTATAACGATTAATTTTTATTTTTTAAAGATATTACATTGATTTGTCTTCGGAATATTAATTTTAATTATATATAGAAAGCTTATATGTATACATAATTCAACATAATTATGATCTTAAAATTATTTATAGAATTGTTAATTTTTATAAAAAGAAAGTGGTAAATTGTGCACAAACAGAGTTTCTGCAGGATGAATATAAGTCAAGCGTAATTAAAAGCTTAAACGATTAAGCTAATGTTATTGAGATGAATCTGAATTGAGGTGGGCGGAATAGGGACTCCAACAAGGAATTGCAATGCCGCCCACCATGTTACAATTTAGATCTTTAGATTTGCTGCTATTTTCTAAAAAATCCTTTTTTATAATTGAGTTAAATGACGCACGCTGGGAGAAATAACATTTATAAAATGTGTTTACAATATGCAATTGTAAGTGTATGAGTATGTGTTTACAATATGCAATTGCAATTGTAAGTTTCCTATTCTTTACAATTTGTTTAAAAATAACTAAATATAAGAGAATCAAACTAAAACTTGTTAACCTTTTTAATTACGAATTTAAGTTTTTTTAGTATCTTTATTATCCTGAATGTTAACCCGCCATTTATAGATCGCCATAAAAACTTGCACGAAACTCGTGACACGCTTTATTGCTGTAATATATAGCAATGTGGATAAGATATTTTGAAAGTTTTTAACATCTTATTATTTTTATTACATCTATACTATGAAATATTTCTTGTGAATTCAAACGCAAAACATTTAGAAAATCCATAGAATCCAAGAAGAACAATGAAATTATTTGCAATTTGCTAAAAACAAATTGCAGTTTGATATAGTGATCTTACATTTGTTTTAACACCAGGTATAAAACGGTTAATCAACGTTCCCTTTTCTCGCGGCCGAGAAAGTGTTGTATGTTGCATTAATGAATCCATAAATCATAACGGAAAGAAGAATGGGAGAAGGTCGGAATCTGAGTGACGTCCGCCCAGAAAACTCATTGCCGTTGTGATCCTGTCCATTCGTGAAGATCCGTGAAGAGGTAAACTTGAAAGGCCATGGGTTCGGGAAACGAAGGGGGTTCAACTTTTCCTGTAGGACGTTGACGCAGCTCCCGTGGGGCACTTTTGCGGATGAAGAGACCACCCTATCTTATACTTCACGTAGTAGGAGACGCTTTGCTTTACTCTCTTATTTTTTTGCGCTTTCCATCTTCCTTTTCTTCTTCTATCTCTTCTCCAATTCTTCGTCGAGATTCTTCTTTGTATTCCCCATATAATATCTACTAATAAACAATAAATACTATAAACAATAAATACTATATAATATCCATCATTTAATCAGATAATATATTAGTTTTTACGTTCATTTTCTGTTGATATTGAGATATTTTTTATCGTTATCCTAAATCTTTTCGCTTTTAAATTAATAAAAAAAAAATATTCTTAGATAGCAATATTA